AACTTTTTCTAGGAGTCTCCATACTGCTTTCCATGGTGGTTGCACCAGTTGCGAGTGTAGAAGTTAAGGTCAGCCAAGAGCATTGGACCCATGAGCTGATCCAGGGATCTCGCTTTCTCCCATCCTATCCTCGCTTAAGTTGGATTGTTGATTCATCTACTTTCTTGCTCAGGGGGAGAAGAGAAACATAGACGAAGAGAATTTATTTTTTTAAGGAAAGGACTGGTTTTCATACATCTATTCATTTTCTATTGGTAAGAATTTATGTGGTCATGCTCTGTAAGGAATGTTAGGAAATACAGAAAAGAGGAATTGGTGTGAGACATCTGAAATCTTACTGGTTATTGAGGACAAGCCTGGGCATGGTAGTGCACCCTTGTAATCCCAGCAGCTCAGGAAGCTGAGGCAGGAGGATGGCAAGTTTGAGGCCAGCCTCAGCAACATAGACCCTGTCTCAAATGAAACTAAAAAGGCTGGGAATAGAATTCAGTGGTAAAGTGCCATTGGGTTAAATCCCCAGTAGCAAAAGAAGACAAGGAAGCTAAATGGTGGGAGATTGCAATAGTTACTCTTATGTGCCAACTTTACTGGGCTGAGGAATCCCAGGTTGCCAATAAGACATTATTTCTGGGTGTGTCAGGGTGTTTCCAAATGAGATTTAGTAAATGACCGCGTTGACAGTAAATAGATGTGCCCAAAACATGAAAACAGAAGACCAGTGGAATGGAAGACACACAAATCCTCTAATCTTTGACTAAGGTACCAAAAACGAAAGGTAGGAAGAAGACACTTCCTTTAACAAGTGTTTCTGGGAAAACTGGATAGCCGTTTGTGGAAGAATCAGACCCATGTATCCTCTGACAAAAGTCAAGGGAGTTTGAACAGGAGGATCGAAATTTCAAAGTCAACCTCAGCAACTTAGTGAGATCCTGTTTCAAAATGAAACAAAAAGGGCTGGAGATGTGCCTCAGGATTGTTAAGCACCCTGGGTTCAATCCATGGTACCAAAAACAAAGACAAGCAAAAATAGATCAAAGACCTCAGAATTAGACCAGAAACTGTACAACTGAAAGAAGGAAACAGAGTCAACCTGCCAACATAGGCGCAAGCATCAATTTCTTTAGTAAGACCCAAAAGCACAAGAAATAAAAGAATATGTGGAATGGCCTCAAGTTAAAAAGCTTCTGCACAGCAAAGGAAACAAGCATGAAAAGAGAGCCTACAGAATGGGAGGAAGTCCCTACAAGTTACTTTTCTGATAGAGGATTATTACCCAGAATACATAAAGAACTCAAAAACAACCCAATTGATAAAAGAGCAAATGAACTAAAATGAATTTCTCAAAAGAAGAAATGCAAATGAAAAAAAGGAAAATGTTCAATATTAGCATTCTGGAAGATGCAAATCAGAACTACACTGAGATTCCACCTCAGTCAGAATGGCAGCCAGGAATACATGATAGGAAATGCTTGTGGAGAGCGCAGGGAGGAAGCCCTCCTATGCCGTTGGCCGGGCTGCAAAGACTTGGACTAGAACTGCCAGATGACCCTGCTCTTCCAAAAGAGCCAAGTGAGCGGACTGCAGCAATACCTGCCTTCCAGTGTGGACAGCCACACGTTTCTCAATAAGTCGTTGAACCAGCCTGAGTAGGTGCCTTTCAACAGATGAATAGCAAAGAAAATGTGTATGTAACAAGTATCACTCTGAAAGACTGAGATCATGTCGTTGGCTAGTGAATGTGTAGAACAACGTGGCAGATGATGTAAAGTCAGAGGCAGAATGGGTCTCATGCAGAAGCCAGAAAGAAAGAAAGGGGGAGTCTCACAAAAAGAAGAGAGGTAGATGTCCAGGGGGGAGAAGGAAGCCAAGGAAAGGGCGTGGGGAGCCGCTCTGAGTGGATGCCTCCAGTCCTGACCCCCGTAAGCGCCAACAGTGTGCATGCACAGGACGCATGGCCTGCGTGGGGATTCTCCAACCAGTCAGCACGTTTCCTAGCGACTTGAGTGTTGTCCCAGCTCGGACAGCAAGGCACGGCTTCACGTGTAGGCATACCCTCACCTGCTCCCGTGAAATCCTACCCCTTCTGCCCTTTTACGGATAGAACTTTCTAAGAACAGTGTCCCCCAAATAAAAGCTCACTTCCCTCTCTCGCCAGCATCTCATGACTTTCGCTTGCTCTCCCTTTTGGGGACCCTGAGGCTGAGAGCCGAGGAATGCTGTCCTGAAGCTTGGGTAAAGGTGATTCGTGTCTATGTTTTATTTTGTGTCACCCCAAATTCACACAAGTGACCTTAGTTGAGTCCCCTGTGCTGGACAGGGACAGCAAAAGGGAAAAGCAGGAATAAAACAAAATTCTGCTATATGTGTGTGTAAAGAGCTGTCCCCACAAGTCCCACTGTATGTCAAGTGATGACACACCAGTGTACAGAGACCAGAGATGGAGGAGGGGGCAGAGCCCGGAGAAGAGGGGCGGGAAGCACTGGGACGTGTGTGGGAGCAAACTGTGCATGTGGGTATGGCAGAAGGAGTCTCACTGTGTGATTACAAGGCACTGATAAAAACTTTAAAAGGAGGTCATCAGTCCCAGCAGACTCTAAGTCCACAGCATCTAGTACCCAAGATAGCATAATTTTGTGTAAGTTTTCCTAATTTCCAATTTTCCCCACACAGGTAATTCACATTTTAGAACATTTCATAAACCTGACTCAAAAAGTTAGGAAAATGACTCCATTTTCAACAAACACTAGAGAAATTATGCAAGTGAAAAAATATGCAAAGTGTACACAAAGTTGCCTAGCTTTGACCTTCATCGATAACCTCTGGAAATAAACAGGGACTTCTCCTGCACTGATCATCCCTGAATAATGAGAAGAAAATTCACCCAGGCAGGAAAATGCGACTGTGATACACACAGAAGTCTTTGAATATTATCCATCCCTAAGTGAATGCCAGGTGATCCCTATTGGAAAGATCCTATGATGGTAGCAAAACTCAGAGAAGCTTCTGCCACGCTTGCCTTGTACCCAGTGGGAATCCTACCGGAGACACCCTGTGGAGTGGCAGTCCTTCACTGGAGCTCCTGCCTGCTCCTGATTGCACACCACAGACTCACAGGCTGGTGACAGAGAGGCCTGACGCAGCCGTCTTCCACTAGCGATCCAAGCCCACTAGACATCAAGGAGCTCCGTGCAGAGAGAGATCCTGAAGTTGTGAAGGCGGAAGAGTTCTCAGCAGCTGGGTTGTGACAATTGGGCCTCTGTAAACACTGGAGAAAAACTTCGTTGTGACGTGAGAAGTCTTTTAGTCACATCCTTGATTTTAATGTGCGTCAAAGAGTGTAACTGAAGGGAGGCTTATGTTGCCGCTGGAATAGAAACGTTCCAAAGCTGTGGACTTATTTCACAACAAAGAAATACTGGAGTTCTCACTCTGCTGCTCATCAGAGAATTCATACTGCAGAGAAACAGTGCGTATCCGGGGTGGAGATTCCATGGAGCACTCCTGTATTTGGCTTCACAATTCACAGAGAAACTTCATTTATGTGGCCATGGTAGAAAACCCTTCAGCAGGATTCTCCGTTTACTGGATGTCAGAGAAGTCGTTAACCTTATTACCTGACAGGGAAAACTCAGAGGGGTGACATTTAATTGGGGCTCATGGTTTTAGAGGTCAGAGTCCATAGGTCGACTCCATTACTCTGGTCCAAGATGAGGCGAAACACTGGGAGAAAGGCCCAGTGAAGGAGAGCTGCTCGGCTCATGGCACAGAGAGAGAGGGGAAGGGGCCACAGGGAAGATGGACCCTTGTAGGGCACAGTGCCCCGTGACCCACCACCAGCCACACCCCACCTGTGCAACACCCACTTGGTCCATTCA